TTTGCTGAACAGGCAGAGGTCTCTGCTCAGAGCTACATTTCTGAGAAAGACCGTGATCTGGTGTCTGAGGACAGCGGAGTCAAGTGAGCGAGTGCCTTCTAGAGATTATGAAAATATGTAGTTCTGTACTTACTACAGAAACAAGCTATAGCCCTGTTTTTCTAGCAAAATGGCTTCTATATCATGACATGACATAAAGCCATTTCATTTTCCCGTCACTGCAGGGACGAGGCTCGGGAGGAAATCTTCAAAAAGGGGCAGTCAAAAAGGATCTGGGGCGAGCTTTATAAGGTAGTTATTACCATCTCCCAACGCCTTACTCATTGAAAGTTCTAACAAAAACCGTAGTTGACGTCACATCCTAAAATGAACCATGCTTTGTGCAGGTGATCGACTCTTCAGACGTCATTATCCAGGTGCTAGATGCTCGGGACCCTATGGGCACTCGATCCCAGAGCATTGAGTCTTACCTGAAGAAGGAGAAATCTTGGAAACACCTCATCTTTGTGCTCAATAAGTGTGACCTCATTCCCACATGGGTTACGGTAAGAAATGAAAGTGGAATACTAGTACCAGTTCCAAAATCTGTTGAGCTCCCTATGTAGGCAGTATTATAAGCTGACATAGTTTCAGAATCTTTGTAAGATACCTTCATATGTCAAAACTCAGTGTCTTATTTCAGAAAAGTAAGCATTACAAAACTGAATGTTACCTTTGTGATATAACTATACTGTTATTATTGGGACTTTAGCTTAGCAACATGCAAACACCAGCCTCTGTTAATCCATTTATGTTGGGTTAAGAGAAACGTCAGACATCTTGATGATAAATCTGCTTATTCATTCAGTGGCAAAAAATATTGATAAAGTAGTTCAGCCTAATTTAAAAAAGATTATTTACCTAACATATATGGGTGCGGTGTATTTGTATGCATATTAGAGTATCATGTTGTTATCTTAGCAAAATGCTAAAACCAGTCTGTTGAAATCCTGTTGCAGTTGGTGGAAAATGTCAGAAATCTGAATTATAAATATACTTATTCATTCAGTAGTGAAAAGTATTGATAACATATTTGATATTGGTAGTTTAATCTAATTAAAAAACAATTTTCCCAACATTTTTGCTGTGCTGTGTAATTGTATTCATGTGTCATTACCTTAGAATCACCATAACACCATCCATTGAGGTTGGTGGAAAAAATGTCAAAGTCGTAATGATAAATATACTTGTAATTACAACTTGTTAACCAACTTTACTGAGAGCTACGACTACGTACCATGTGACCACTGCAGAATCATTGAGGTGCCATGTTTAGGTGTTGATAATGTTGGCATTGAAATGCATAATTCCGAGTCTGAGGAAATTAATTTCTCCAAGTTTAATGTTGTGTGTTGTCATCTCGAAATTACAGGAATTATGACATGGCATGAATTGTTCAAATTGAATTAGAAAAAAATAGAATATCGTGTTGTTAGCTTAGCAAGTTTCTATAGAGCGATCTGAAATGGCCACTTTTGTTCTTCTACAACAGTTAGGATGTATGGGGCCACCTATGTAGGCAGTAGACAGCAAGGCATATCACTAGGTTTCTGGAACAAGGCCACTGTCTGCAATGTGTCCTGTTCTACCGTCTCTGGAGTTTGTTTCACTGACAGACAGGCATGTTTATCTTGGCTTGTAATAGTTAACCAGTTAAAGGCTCCTTCCCTGACAGATATTTTTTTCTGTCTTTCACATCTATGATTCTTGTTTTTAATTCTTGTTATTGGTGATTCTGAAATGCAACAACAAGGAATGAGGGAGTTACACCAGCTGTTTATAAGCTGCAGGCCTTTTCATTCAAGCCAAAAAAGCATTTGCCTACCCCCTTCAGATTTATGACTGAGGTCTTTTGTAAACCTAACAGGCAAGTGATTGGGAAACCCATTAGTTTTGTTGTTGAAAGGGAATCACTTATCATTCTGTGGTGATTCTTGTTGGGCAGCTTGTGCCCTTTTTTATCTGTTCTCTCTTATCAAAAACTATTTCATAGATCACTTCTAGTGTTAGACCTAGTTAGAAATTTATAAACCGCACGTACAACCGGATTTTATTCGAAATTCCATGGATTTCATTCTACGTTAAAAGGACCAAATTGGGGTTTCTAAAGGCAGAAACTGACATAAAAAGTTATATTACAATTTTTTTTTTTATATGATTATTATTATTATGTGATTTTACGTTATATGAGTAGGAAAAATAAATATAGACATAATGCCCACCCTCATGTTCCAAACCTGTATGAATTTTGCTCTTCTGTTGAACACAAAAGATATTTTTAAGAATGTTGGTAAACAAACACTTGATGGTCCCAATTAATTTCCATAGTGTTTTACCCCAATACTATGGAAGTCAATGGCAATGACTCATTGCAAAGGTGGCACTATACCACACTTGACGTCACTGAGCTCTTCCAAATGGCCCGTTTTTTCCACTAATGTTTAGAAATGTAGACTGCATGGCTAGGTGCTTAGTTTTATCATTTTAATAGTAATAGAAATGCCTGAATTCCATAATTAAGAGATGTTCCAAAACATTTTTGTCCATAGTGGTATTATATAGTAGCCTATTTGTATGTTTATATGTTCACGTTGCTCTTGAATTTACGTTGAAATGTGATTTATTAAGAGAGATGTTCACTCATAGGAACTTTATGAATACTGTTGTTGATTAACATTTAGGATGATGCTACACTTATTTTTCTATATGTGAACTGTTTTTCATTCTTGCTTATTCTTGTGTCTATGTTGTAGAAACGCTGGGTTGCAGTTCTTTCTCAGGAATACCCCACTTTGGCCTTTCACGCCAGCCTTACCAATTCCTTCGGCAAGGGCTCCCTTATCCAGCTCCTGCGGCAGTTTGGCAAGGTGAGGCTTTAAACATTTACAGCGTATGTTTAATGCTTATACGCATTATCGTGCCTTGGAAACCATGGGGCAACAGGTTTTAAACGCACAACAGTTTCGATCCACATCGTTTATCTACTCAAGCTGCAGTTTTAGGACAAGGTCAGTCTGTTTTTTGGTCCGTAATGGCAACAGATGTTGAGAGCAGTGGTTTGATTGGGTACCAGATGTACCCCACCCTCCCATGCTATTGGGCTCCTGTCCTGTCTTCACATCTGCCTCGTAGCTATTTTTGGGAGCACAGCCGTAAACAAAAAATTGGAAATACTAAAAAGGAGAGAGGGCTTACATAACATAAATTTTGTTGAGGGTTATATGACAGGACACTCTTTTAGGAGTTAGAACACAGCGGTGCAAAAATATCACGGTTGCCATGCGTGCAATATAAATCTGCAGGTGTAATGACATTTAAGAGGCCTTTGTAGGTTGTGTATCAAGTCTTTATTTCTTGGGCCCCCTTTTTAAAAGTGTATAATGAAATGTGAGCGGGAATGTGTGCAAATTATTGGGAGAAGGGTTGATCCAAGATCGTCTTGTTTTCCTGACCTCAATACTATGAAACGAACATTATATCAGAGGACTTGACAGTATGTGTGTATTTCTTCTATTTAATTGCTGCTTTGCAAAATGACGTTTGCTTAGTATTAACATGTCCATATTGATTTTTGCTCAGCTCCACTCAGATAAAAAGCAGATCAGTGTTGGCTTCATTGGTTACCCCAATGTTGGAAAGAGCTCTGTTATCAATACCCTGCGCTCCAAAAAAGTCTGTAACGTGGCACCCCTTGCTGGTGAGACAAAGGTAAGACCTCAGAAGCTTTTTCTTTCCATCTCAGGGATGTGATTTTAACATATGGATTTCTGTATTTTCCTACCTGAAAATAAGGATCCATGTGAATTCTGAGAAAAAGAAATTGATGCGTATATAAAATTATCATTATTTTACAGTACAATAATATTTTTGCAATTGTAATATATTTCTTTATTGATTTGTTTAATGTTCATATTTAAATAACATAATAATATTTTTCAACAATAATAATAAAGTAATTTGATATAATAATTATAATTATTTGTTGTATAGGCATACTGAATGAGGAGAAAAGGATTTTTTTTTTCTTCTGTAATTTGCCAATCACATGCCTTTTATCTCTGTTTGGTGCTAATTTTGTATTTTTTCTTAAAGGCTAGTTTACCCAAAAATGAAAAGTCTGTGATTAGTTTGCATACTCTAATGCCATTCCAAACCTGAGTGACTTTTTTCCACTATGGACACAAAATGAGAAGTTTAACACAATGTTCATGCTGCTATTTTCCATACAGTGTATATGAATGTTGTCAGAAGATGTGAACCCGGGGCTAAAAAAAATTAATAATAACCCATTACACTGTATTTCAAGTCTTTTTCTTTTCAAAAGTTATAATTTTTGATGAGATTTTCCAATAACATACTTGTGTTTGTCCATGTACTGATCATGAACATCAGATGATTGAGTGATTCCTCTTTTGATGTACGTGACATCAAATGATTCAGATTTTTTTTTTTGGTGAGTGTAAGGTTACCTGCCAGATCCTGACATGTGGTAACATTTGGAACGATTTAAGTTTCCAGCATTTTGGTTTTTGGCTGCAACTTTTGTGTATTCATGTTTTTGTGTGAAATTACTTTTTTATGTTGTCAAATTTTTCCTCTTATTTTACAAACATGGAACTGAGAAATGGTTTTCAGAGGGAGCGAGTGAAAGTGCAAGGCAAAGGAAAAACATTACTGACGGCGGCCAGATTGAAATCAAATTCTAAACAAATCTGGACTTCCACGCTCTTCTGTTTATGTTTTAAATGATAAATTGTTTCATTTAAAATTTCCCCCCGTGTGCCCTGATTTGAGTGATTCTTCAATTAGTAGACATTTCTGTCTTCTGTTTTCCTTTCTTTGTACAACAGTCTTTCTAGTTCGATTATGAGATAGATAGGTTTGATTTGATTTTAATAGCTTAAAACATTGTTGTGCTTTTAACTAGCTTTTCCTATGTTGAAATGTTGGGTTTTCCTGAATCACTGTTTAGGCCTTTGGCCAGTCAGCAACATTCATAAACAATCTATTTAGTTTTAGTTTTATAAACTTAAAAGTTAATTGACTGCTTGCTAACTTGTCGAAAGTTCTTATAAATTGTGTGTATTTAAATGCAGTTCGTTATGTTGAAATGTTTTCGGTCTTGTGGTTTCTTAAATGGAGGTCATGGATGAATATGAACTTTCTGTCAGATGGCTCAAGCTCAACCTTAATGCCATAACCAACTGTTTTCTTTCTCTCTTTTTTTCACAGGTCTGGCAGTATATCACACTAATGAGACGCATTTTCCTCATAGACTGTCCTGGCGTCGTCTATCCCTCCGACGACAGCGAGACTGACATTGTGCTGAAGGGAGTGGTACGATGACCTTGACTCTCAAAGACAGCCGTTCACATTGGCAATCCCAGCAGCTTCATCCACTCACTTTGTATCTGTTGCATTTAGGTTCAAGTGGAGAAGATCCGAAATCCAGAGGATCACATCGGAGCGGTGCTGGAGAGGGCCAAAGCAGAGTACATCCAGAAGACATACCGCATTCCGTCCTGGAGCTCTGCCGAGGACTTTCTGGAAAAGTTCGCCTTTCGCACCGGAAAACTGCTCAAGGTCTGGCCTGATTGTGGAGAATCTGATAAAACGAACTGTCAGCTTGGTCCTCGCGGCACATTTGTTTATTCTTTCCTCTCAAGTGTCCGATTGAGATGTGACAGTTTGCTTACTTTAAGCCAGTGGAAAACATTTAATTTTAACTTCGGATAGCCAGTTTACAATACCCGAATGCCAAAACCACTATGATTTAGTGCAAAATTAGATTTTTAAAAAGGGGTAGGTTGTATTTTTTAGTTCACATCTTTATCTCTGTCCAAATACTGTACATGTTGGTGCTGTAATGATTGGTATTTTGTGTTGTTCCACTTATACAGGGTGGAGAGCCAGATCTGTCCACTGTGTCTAAAATGGTTTTGAATGATTGGCAGAGGGGACGCATCCCCTTTTTTGTGAAGCCCCCAGGAGGCGAGATGGATGAAGAGGTAAATGGACATATGTGACCTTGGACCACAAAACCAGTCATAGGGGTCGATTTTTCGTAATTGAGATTCATACATCATCTGAAAGCTGAATAAATAAGCTTTCCATTAATGTATGGTTTGTTAGGATAGGACAATATTTGGCCGAGATACAACTATTTGAAAATCTGTAATCTGAGGGTGCAAAAAATCTAAATACTTAGAAAATCTTCTTAGCAATGCATATTACTAATCAAAAATTAAGTTTTAATATATTTACGGTAGGAAATTTACTAAATATCTTCATGGAACATGATCTTTACTTATTATCCTAATGATTTTTGGCATAAAAGAAAAATCTATAATTTTGACATATACAGTGTATTTTTGGCTGTTGCTACAAATATACCCCAGTGATTTAAGACTGATTTTGTGATCCAGGGTCACATTTGTTCTTAATATCCTACAAAGTTTAGTGTCTTTTAGCCAAAAAATTAGCTTAGTCTTTGGAAATTTCACTTTAATATTCAAAAATGCCTTCCAAGATCATCACTGTTGCATGTTTTGCTAAAATTAGAGCTTAATTTTTTTTTTTAAGACCTTGTAAGACATTGTTTATATGTAACTTCCATAATGCATCTTGAATTACTTGGAACAAATCCTCTTTTAAGTCACTGTGGCCAACAAAATTACTTGAATTTTGACTATCTTTATACTGGCAGACACTAATGCACTTATAAACATTTATAGTCTTAAAGTGACACTTGATCTTTCCACTCAGAACAAAGCACAACCGATGCTGGAAATGCCTGAGATGGAAACCAAGCAGGAAGAGCTGGGAAACAGACCCGAAGCTCAGGATGTGGACGGGGCCTCATCTAGCCAGCAGGAAGATCAAAAGCTTCTGAGACAGAATGAGGAGATGCAGAAAATCTTCAGCAATGTCAAGCAGAACTTTGGCAAAATAAACGTCGCTCCAGAGTTCAGCGAGGAGGACCTTGTGCCTGTTGAGATACCTGACATACTGGATCCCTCCTGGTCAGAAGATGAAGATGAGCAAGACGAGGAAAATGAGGAGGACGAGGAAAAAGTGGAAGAGCAGATTGGTGAACAACAGGAAGAAGAATCCTCTGTTTCCGACTTCCCAACCAAAGCAGAAAAGAAGAGCACATGTGAAGTGAATAAAGAGATGGATGAGAAGATTGCCAAATTAAAGCATTTTCTTGATCGTGCCAAGTCAAAGCATTTCTCCGCCATACGGTTTGTTTAAGTTCATACTGATCATATTTTATAGGTACCTTTCAGAACACTTTACAGCATAAACAGCAAGATCAAAAAAATAGACTACAAACATAGAATTACTTCAAAATATGAGTAAAGTTATGATATAGGGTTAAGGTCAAGATAAGGTTGTGAGAGGGTTCTGTAAAGATTAACGCTTATCCTATTTCAGTAGGCCGATTAATTATTTTTCACTGTTGATATTATTATGTTGTTTTGATGTTTTTATAGAATTCCTAAAGGCCTGTCTGAAAAGGTGTTTAATGAAACCACAGCAAAGCAGAATGATGCAAAGAATCTGCAACGGAAAGGTACAACTAACTCAAGTTAATGCCATATGTTTGTGTATCAAAAGGCTGCTGCAACTGTGTATTTAATGTACAACAAAACACATTATTATTATTATTATTATTAGTGCTGTCAAACGATTAATCGTGATTAATTGCATACAAAATAAAAGTTTTTGTTTGCATAAAATGTGTTTTGTGTATATTATGTATATATAAATACACACACATACAGTATATATTTAGAAAATATTTACGTCTATATTTATATTCATATAATTTATTTTATAAATAAATATATTTAATATATAAACATATTTTTCTGAAATATATACATGCATGTGTGTGTGCGTGTATATATATATATATATATATATATATACATAATAAATATACACAGTACACGTACATATATTATGTAAACAAAAACTTTTATTTTGGATGTGATTAATCGTTTGACAGCACTTATTATTATTAATTTTACCTGTTTTGCTTGGGCCTTTAATTGCTACTTGCTGCTATATTTATATTTATTATTATTATTATTACATGAATTAACATTTTTTATTAAATTAAGCATTTTTTAAGAAAATGCTTATACACATTGCGGTTTTCATTTTTTATGTTAAAAAATCTCTTATGCTGACCAAGGCTTCCTTTGATTGATCAAAAACAGTAAAAACAGTCATACTCTGAAATATAATTGCCATTTAAAATAACTGTTTTCTGTTTGAATATATTTTCAAATTGAATTGATATGATGGCATAGTTGGATTTTCAGCAGTCATTACTCCAGTCTTCAGTGGCATGTGATCCTAGAAAAAAAGAATTCTAATATGCTGATTTTGTGCTCCAGAAACATTTCTTATTATTATTAATATTGAAAATGTGTGCTGAATATTTCTGTGGAAAAGGTGATACATTTTAAGGATTCTTTGATGAATCAAAAGTAAAAAAAAAAAACAAAAAAAAAACTGCATTTATTTGGAATAGAAATATTTTTAACATAAATGTCTTTGTCACTTTTGACTCATTTAATGCATTTTTGCTGAATAAAATTGTTAATTTATTTAAAACTTACTCACCCCAAATAGTATATTCACAGTACTTAAATAATGACAATAACATTCATTATTGATTGTTGACGCAATATCAACAATATTTAAAATATACTGTTAAACTTAGTTGAATATGAATACACTAAATATTCCACAGACTCTTGTGTCAGTGATTAGGGTTGTCTGGTGCTTCAAACAAGTGAGTAATGACACTCATCCTTTTTTGGTTTTCTAGCTGTGAATTTGGGTAAAAAGAGGAAAGCTGAAGATGAGGAGCCTGCAAAACCTACCAAACTCACATCTAAAGAGGTATGCACTATTCTCCCAGCTCAATCGTCTTGATTCCTCAGTCCAGACATCTCACATAAATTTGAGACCAAACTTATCTCTTTCTCTCTGTTGAACTACTTCACCTCAACAGAAAAGAAGACTGGAGCGTGCCCAGAAAGTGAAGAAAGTGGGGGTCCGCTATTATGAAACGCACAATGTCAAGAACAAGAATAAAACCAGAAAAATACCCTTGGATGGCAAGAAAGCCAAACGAGCTAAGCGATAATACCTGGCCAGATACCCAGTCACATCAATCCGTTTCCAAAGCCATGTCGGTGGCTAGGTTGGAACACCTGGTGTGGAATCACGGTGATTTGTGAAAAAGTGAAGGTTCGGTTAATCTCTGATACAATCGTTCTAGTGCACTTTATTCATACTGTGGCACCAGCCATCGTCCTGAACATTCTAACTACAGTCTGACAGCTAATTCATTTCAGTACTGTGCATTTTCAGCGCTTTTAACTTAAGACAATGTCCTGATTCTGCAGAGTTGAAATGTGAATTATGTACCTGTATATCTACATATGTTCTTTTTCTTTTGTTTGGAGAAAAAAAAATCAATAAATACTCGGAACAGATGCTTTAATACAGGTTTTATTCATTTAAATGGTATGAGAGTAAGTGTATTAATCTTCAAATAATATTTAGGCCTTATTCCTCAGGGTAATTATGCCCTCCAGTTGTGCCTAAAAAAATAAATGGTTGCATAAGAGTCTGAAAAATAGACTAATCAGAAATCATGATTATGATGATCTCTGCTTTACCTTGAGTTGCTGATTAGTTCGTTTGAGGAACTGAACCTCTTCAGCATGCTTCTTTTCCTCAATTTCCCGCCGTTCTGCTTCCCGTCTCTCGATGGCATCACATTTAGCCTTCTGCTCGTTCAACAACCTCTCCAAACCTCGCTTCTCACTCTCCAACTCTAAAATCTACCAACAGTTTGTATCTCAGCAAGCAGAAAATGGTCATTTAATGTGTGCTTGTCAGGTCTTACGTTAAAGTTTTTTTGTTTTGAGTTTTTTTTTTGTCCATACAAAGTCAGTGGGGACTAATGTTGCATTAGACATCACTGACTTTCATCAAAAGTTCAAAATATATTTTGTGTATGTAAGTAATAGTTTTTGTTTTCTGTTACAAGAGCAAGATAATCACATATAAACTTGTCTTAAGCCAACAAGTTGAACATGTTTTTTTTTATAGAAAATAATAGGTAAAATACAAGTTATTGTAAGTGTAACTGTATAGGTTTAGTTTTGTAGCTTGCTTAACTTAGTTGTTCAGAAAATATATTATTTGTGGTTACATTATTGTTATTATATGTAATCTTTGATATAATTTATTATATGTATATACATTACATTACATTTACATCTCTAGTCATTTAGCAGATGCTTTTATCCAAAGCAACTTTTTTGTATGTTATTGTAAAATTGTTTTAGAATAGTAAGACAAAATGAGAATAATTGCTTTCAATAATAATAATTTGCTGCAAATGACCTTGTTCTCCATGTCAGCCATTCCATGCTCTGCTTGAAGTGCTTTCCTCATGCCAAAGGCCACGCTGCTCTCGTACAGTGTTTGATAGGCAGCGATGGTCATGCGAATCTCGTCTCTAACTTGCAGCAGCAGGAGGCCCCGCTCAGCACAGTTAATGGTGACTTGTCTGATTAACTCATCTGAGACATTTGAAAGAGAGAATGCCATGTGAATCTCAACAGCTATTAATATGACACTTCATTAGTAATATGTGACCCTGGGCCACAAAACCAGTCTTAAGTCGCTGGGGTATATTTGTAGCAATAGCCAAAAAAAACATTGTATGGGTCAAAATTATCGGTTTTTCTTTTATGCCAAAAATCATTAGGATATTAAGTAAAGATCATGTTCCATGAAGATATTTTGTAAATTTTCTACCATAAATATATCAAAACTTAATTTGATTAGTAATATGCATTGCTACGAACTTCATTTGGACAACTTTAAAGGCGATTTTCTCAAAATTTTGATTTTTTTTTTTTTGCACCCTCAGATTCCAGATTTTCAAATAGCTGTATCTCATACAAATATGTATGTCCTATCCTAACAAAACCATACATCAATGGAAAGCTTATTTATTCAGCTTTCAGATGATGTATACATCTCAATTTCGAAAAATTGACACTTAAGACTGGTTTTGTGGTCCAGGGTCACATATGTGTATTTTTACCGAAGCACTGAGAGTAGAGCTCCCTGCGCACAGGGCAGATGCCCGTCTCTCTGGCCTGCCTTTCCTGCAGACTTCTGTCCAGCTGTTCTTGCAAATGAATAACGTCCATGCGTGTGCACGGAGCGCTGGACACCGGCTGCACCCACAACTGGTTGTCCTCCATCCATTCCCTTTAACAGAACCATTTGAAAGATTTATATACTATCTTTCAAAAGTTTGAGGTCTGTAAAATGTTTTTATTTTTTAATTATACCCAAGGCTGCATTTATTTGGTTAAAATATAAACAGTATCATGACATATTACTTCAATTTAAAACAGCTGTTTTTATATTTTATTACATTTTACAATGTAGTCCTGTGATGGCAAAGCTGAATTTTCAGCAGTCATTACGCCAGTCTTAAGTGCCACGTGGTCCTTCAGAAATCATTCTAATATATGCTGATTTGGTGTGGAGGAAAAAATGTTTTAACATTGCTTAATATTTGTGTGGAAGCCATGATACATACGCATTCAGAACAGCATTTATGTTCATTAGAAATATTTTGTCATTTTATAGCTGTCAGTCAAAAATCTTACTGACCCCAAACTGTTGGTAACTTAATGAGACGTGATTAAACAAATATGCAACTAAACTACCGTGTTATGGTAGTATCCGCACCAATGTTTAATAAATATGCTAATAACCCTCTTATTTTTATTTTACCTTGGTGGTAGAATGGCATTCAGGATCTCTTCAGTTTGCTGTTTGCTGGCATCTGCTGAAGGGCTCTTGGGTTTGGGTGGAGGAGGGACTGGGCCGCTCTCTACCATCTGTTGGGGACTCACTTTCAAAGGGCGACTCTGAGTGAAATGTGAGACAAGATATGAAAAACTAATATTCAGGCTTCATTACAACAACAACAAGGTATACTTTACGGTGGTTGCAGGTTTGTTTTTATTTCTATACATCCAAGAACTGTGCTTACCCTTGGAGACTTCCTCTCTGTATTCTTGCTCACCAACACCGGATAATCATACTTCAGCAAGGAGTCAGTCGGGACAATCATGCTTGTAATGTGGAAGTGTCAAGTAAATGTACAGGAATGTTTCAAATTCTGCGTTTTAGAATAAAACTTTGGATGACTTCGTGTACCCGCCAAAGTATCGTTTTGTTGTTTCCCGTTGCTATAACAACCGCTCTTTCCCACCCGCAGGCCAGACTGTTTTTATACAGTCTATGGTCAGTCCATGAAAGTGAACCAAACTAATCGGGGAAAAATAATAATTGTTATTAAATGTTAAGTAATTAAGTATTTTAAAGGAATTTACATACAAATGTATTGTTCTATTTTTCTAATGTTTATGTTCTAAAGCACGAGACAGAACTCGCCACTGG